CTTAGCTATTACTCTTTCATAGAACTATCCTTGTATAAATATGTGATTAAGATGTGCAACTGAAATATCTAACTTTGTGGCAGATGCTGCTCTATGTGATCTTTTGTAACTGAAGGGTTCTTTTATCAGTTGGGCTTTTGGGTTTGTTTCTCTCATCTGCTCTTTTCTGCCAGCTTAACAGGGATTTTAAATCAAAACCTAATTAGACTACATATGCTGTTTAGGAAAAAGTTCTTAGGAAAGTAATGATTCATATAGGCTTTGATATTTCCAGATAACATCTAAGAAGAAATGTGATTTTAATTGTTTTAAATAACTTCCAATCACCCTCTTACTTAAATAAAAGTAGTTGAGCACAGTTATTTGATAAAAAAAAAATTCTTCAGTAACAGAAATTCCAACTCTATATTCCTATCAACGATACCATCTGTGCTTAATGATAAAAGCCTTTATTGGCACACATTTTTCAGCTAAGTAGTATTACAACTCGGGTATTCTATTACATATTTTTGATACCAATACCATAGTCCTCAAATCAGAAGTTATCAAATGATAATTAATTTCTGAAAAACAAAAATCTGTGCGTACATGTAGAGCACCTAGGATGTCAGCCGAAGTTTGCTTTTTAGCAATGTTGATATAAGAAGAGTTGGTATCTTTTTATTTTTCCTCTATGATTTTCTATGAGGAACAATGAATTCTTTTAATGTTATTTTAATTATAATGCACTTACTTGAATTATATATTTCAATATTTTAACTAGTGCTAAGAAAGCCCACATTTTAAACACTCTCACCTTGCACTAGTTTAAGGAAACCTGTGTCAAAAATTATGACTGTTATCTTGTTCAAACATTAATAAATACATTTGCCAGGAAAGCCCTGGCCTCTGATGCTTAATCACAAAGATGTAAGCTCCATCTTTTAAAAAAAAAAAAGGGAAAAAAAAATTTACATTTTTATGTCCCACCTAGTTATTTGACCCAGTTATTAATCAGAAGTAGCCAGAATTTTCTTCTATTCCACAGAGCAATTGCTTGCTGCCTTAAGAATAAAAACTTGAGTATTTCCCCTGATAGAACGCTGACAAGTCATAATGAGGAATTGTGTCTTCCAACGTCATGCCAATATAGTTTCTGCTAATTGTCTGAATACTGTGCTGTGACATACTGCATATAAAAATTATTTTCTGGAAACCAAGAAATTATACATATTTCCAAGACAAATCCCTGCAAAAATAACCACAAATTTATGATAGGCAATAACAAGACTTCATAAGCATTTTTTTAAAACCTGAATTAAATTTCAAACAGCAAAGCAGAAGTGTAAATCCAGATTTCTAGTTACTCTGTTACTTTAGTGATTCAGTAAAGCTACAGCAATTTGTTTCAACATCTAATTGAATATGTAATAAATTCAAATATTTCTCTTACTGTTGAGCCATTACTAATATGTGACTATCATGGAAACAATATATAGAGACATCAGACTTTAAGAAGAGTTTATAAGAAATAAGTTGGAGACATTTATAGTGAGACAACACTGATATCCCAGGCTTCTAAACAACACATAAAGTCTACTGACATGCAAATAATATAAAAGGCATATGCATATTCATTGATACCACCAAAAACAGTTGTTTTGTAAATGTTAAATATTGTCAGCATGTCTACAAAATTTTTGAAAACCCCAGTGCAACTCAATAGAAGTTTGATGGTAAGACCTTAATTACAGGACAGTACACTTAAAAAAAAACAAACAAAAAAGAATGAGTATGCTTATATATTAGAATTGAAACTCACCACATAGAATAGCTAAATGTGATCAAACAACTCCTGTCTACAAAGTTCTGCAATATAAAGCAATTAATTTAAAATATTCTTCAGAGACAGGAGACATGTAGTAGAAGACAGAATGTTTCCAAAGTATAGTTCATCTTCTTCTGGTTTCAGATAAAAGAATGAAAACATAAAGTCTGAAGTTTATGCCCATGCATCAGAGGCATTTCTCATATGTATTGTTATCACCAAGAGTACTTTCTGGAAAGGCAGAAATTGGTGAGCAACCCATCATGATCTTCACACTTTACTGTGCAAACTGACTGAGTTGAGGATGGTGTATGGTGTTGGGGTGAATTGGAGAAAGTGGAAGCAACACCCAATTGCAAGTTCATGCTTGACTGCTATTCAGAGTAAATTTTATTATTGTTTATCATCAGCTATAATTGGTTAACTGGATGAAAATATCTCTTTTTCTGTGAACAAAGCTGCCCTCCAAGAGTGCAAAAGACATCTTAAATATAAATAGACTAGCTAACAAGCCTTTCACTGTATTGAGCCAAGGGTTACATACATGGTTATAGAGTAAAGGCAGTATTTTTAGAACTTTGTTTAAAAGAAAAAGCAGGTCACCATATAAGCCATGACACCCACCAAATAATGTGTAACCTAAACCACACTGCTATATCTCAAGTTATTTTCTATTCTGATGCTTTACCTAAGAATTAGCTAAATATCCAACATGCAAAAATATTATTATTTACTTACACACACACACACACACACAAAAAAAAAAAAAAAGTCCTGATTGAGTTTTATAATTGAAATATGTCTAAAGAACAAGAAACCCCAGCAAAATATTGCAACAGCCACAAAGTATTCGAGTTTCAAGTTTCACCTCTCCACTCTCCAGGGCAGCACACGAACACACACGTCAGACCGCTGGACGTGCCATCCACTTGGCTCTCGCAACCCCCCGCACGAATCAAAAGGCTCCAGAGGGACCCAGAAACACCAAACCAGGGCACGGGGGCAGAGAGCCGCATCTCCTCTGCCTGACCTCGGGCTGTGCGTGCGCTGTCTTGCAGAACCTTGGACAGCGGCCTCCTGGCCCTCCTCTCAGTGCGCCTCAGCCCAGCTCAGCCCAGCCCAGCCCAGCCCAGCCCAGCCCAGCCCCGCGGTTCACCCCACTGCGCTTCCTACCCGCACTGGCTGGGCATCTGCACTACCCATCAGAACCCTTGGAGAAAGGGAAAACAGACTAAGTTGAAGTTGCACCCATGGTTTGGGTTTTTTCCCTTTCCCCTTCTGAAATATCTTTCATTTTTAACACAGATTGGTTGGCCAAATTCTCAAAACATAAAGCAATATCTTCTGGCACTCAGAACCACAGAAATGTAGGTCACTGGCATCTGTCTTGTTCATTAAAGTTTCACACAATCATTTTTAATGTCAACAACTTTTTCTCTATCATTAAAAATGTATTTCTCCTTTTCGGGTGTGCGAAAGGAAAATCATTGAACAGCATAAATTTGCTCTTCTATTCATTTTCAACACCTTTTACACCTTGATATTCTGTAGACCAACTGAGAACTTTGTGGTAAAGTTCAGTCAAACTGTGATACCAAAAAATCACCTAAAGCATGTAAATACTGATCATTTGGCATAATGGAATAGTAGGTCAATTTCTAATTATAGAGCTACTGAAATGAGAGATTTCCTCACAGCAATAGACATCTATTTACATTGATATTTTTTACTTTTTTACTTTTCCAATTCACTCTGAAAATAAATATGTTTACATTATCAGTAAATGAGTACTTAGCATACATGCAATGAGGGTGTACACACACAGTTTGCAATCTAAAAACAGTTGAGTCAACATTTCTGGTGATTCTACCTTACTTTTGTCAGGTTTAGAAAGAAAAAATAAATATGGCAACTTTCCTACCGTTATCCAATTAGATAGCAGGTTATTTCAGCTTCAGGTACTCTGGATCCATTTTTGTGGCAAATATATGCACAAATTATACTAAGCTATTGGTGAATGTGATTGTTTAGGCAGAGGCTGCTACCATTAAATTATTTCAGAAGGCCCTGCTAAAGTTACAGAGTGCAGAGGTACTGCCAGGCCTCCCATTTAGAGCAACGATTTGTGTGCATGGTTGTGTTCCACTGCTAAAGCAGAATTTGGCTCAGACTGGTTAGTGCTACAGTAGTTGAGATAATCTAGTTCAGGGCAGAAATATTCACCTCGTACCAAATACTCAAAAAGGGGGAGAAAGCATGCACTTAGCTATTTTAGGCACCAAAGACAACTCTTTCTTCTGCCCTGTCTTGAGAGATAGGCCAACTAATCTTGTGCGAAGTACAGAGAAGGCAACATCTACAAGAGCCAAAGTGGGACCCTCTGCCTTCTAACAAAGGCAAAGAAAAGCCTCTGGATCTCTCTGAGCCGTCACCAGTGGCACCAAAGGAAACAGCCGCGGCTTATCAAAACGCTGTCACCATCACTTCCCAACGAAGGGCCACTGCGGTGCCCACCAACAGACACTCTTGTCCTCCAGCTTTCCCCAGCTCCACAGATTTTGGCAGAGCGCCTGCAAGTACTGTCCCGCTCCCGCTCCCGAGGAGGCCCGGCGCCGCACCGCTCCGCCGCCGTCCAGCACCGCCACCCCCGGGCCGAGCGCCCGACCGAACCTACCCGGAGCCCGCGGTGCGCGCCCCCGGCCCCGCGGGGCGACGCACCGCCCGTGCCCGGGCACCGCGGCCGGCGCGCCCCGAGGGCCGGCGGCCGGGGCAGCGCCGTCGGGCGGCCCCGACCACGGCCGCCGCTCCGAGCCCCGCTCATTGTCATGCAGACCCTGTCGCTGCCTGCCGCCAAGTCGCATCCCAGCCCGCTGGAAGCCGGCAGCCCAGTCGGAGCCAATCGCATATTCATGAGGAGGGGGAAATCCAGCGCTACGCTCCCAGAGGAACGAGGATCGCTTCTTTTTGCGTTTTCTCAAGCTTCCCCCTCTCTCTTACTCTCTTTTAATAATGCGCTAAGGGGGGCATCCCGGCCGATACCCTCCGCAGCATCGCCTGCACCGTGAGAACCGCGGCCGCCGGCGCCAGGGGCAGAGACCGAAGCAGGCACAACAGGGTCCACGGCAGCCACAACAGCCGAGGGAGGCACGCCAGCCCGACAGCCAGGGACAGGAAACACAGCAGGGGCTCCTACCTTACAATCCTCAGGGCACGATTTCACCGAGTACTCATCCGACTGTAAATATTTCTGAAGCATAACCTCAAACTCTTCGTATTTCTCCTGAGCGTGCTGGTCGTAGCGCTGGTAAGCCTGGACGCACTGGCTGCAGGAGCCTTCCCCCTTCAGCACCACATCCAGACTGCAGTTCAAAGTGTCCGGATTGGACAACCCGGCGAACAACTCCCAAAGTGTATAGGAATTACAAAAAGAAAGGTAAAAATCCGTCAGGTCCCAGCCGGGCGCCGGGTTCTGCTCCGTGCCCCGCGGTCGCCCCGACCCCCCTCGCCGCTGGCACACCGCCTCCGCGTCGCCCACGCTGAAGCACTGCCCGGACGAGGAGCCCGGGGGGGGGCACGTCTCCAGGGGCCTGGCGGTGGAGTTCCCCAGGAAAGCAGCCTTGCCGTGCCGGGGCTCGGTGCCGTTGGTGCGGCTGCCGCGGCTGCCGCCGCCGCTGCTGCCGGGGGAGGGCGGGAGGGAGGGCGAGGGGGGGGCGAGGAGCCGGGGCGCGGGGGGCGCCGGCTCCCCCATGCCCGCCAGCAGCTCCGGCTCCGCGGGCTCCGGCTTCTCGGGTGGCGGCTGCTCCTTCTCTCCGGTCCCCGTGAATTTGGCCTCGGCGCAGAACCACAAGTGATCAGAGAGCAGGACCGTGAAAAACAAGAGCGATGCCAGGGACAGTCGCCATTTCTGAGCCCTCTCTGAATCCGTGAAGGGTTTCTCGTTCTCCCGGGGTGCGAACCAGATTTTTAAGCCGTCATCATACTGCCGACTACACATCCAAGCACCCCTGGTCATATTTTGGGAACGCACAGCCCTGGCCGACTCCACCGTGAGGGCTCCTTTGCCAGTGTCACCACAATATGCATTGACTTAAAAGATTGGGGGGATTTTCTTGCCTGCCTTCCCTTCTCTCGCTCGCTTGCTCTCCCTCTCTCTCTCTTCCACTCTCCCCCTTCTCTCTTTCTTCCTCTTTTTTTTTTTCTTTCTTTCTTTCTCTTTTTCTTTCTTTCTTCTCTCTTTCTTTTCTTCCTCCGAGATATTGTTGGTTTTCGCCGGTGGCTCTGCCTTGGTCTCACCACACGAAACAGCCCCAGTCCATCCAACGCGGAGTGCCGTGGAGAAGATAAGAGCAATAACGCAGAGAGAGGAGGAGGAGGAGGGAGAGGAGATGGTGGTGGTGGTGGTGGTGGTGGTGGTGGAGATGGTGGTTGAGGTGGTGGTGGTGGTAGTGGTGGTGATAGTTGGTGGTGGAGGGGCTGCGCGACTGGTCCTTTCCCCCTCTCACCCAGGCATGGTCAGATCGCAGCTCCCCATCTCCCTCCTGAGAAAAGCCCACTGCGCCCGGACAACCGCATGCCGCGTCCCCCGCTGCCGACGGACGGCTACGGGAGAGCTCCTCGCCTCCTCTTCCTCCCTGCCGCCGCTGCTCCTCTTCCTCAGCCCCGAGCCGCGGCACAGATGCCTGCACCGCTGTCTCAGTCTCTTTCTTCTCTCCCCGCTCCGCTCTAACTGGAGAGACGCTGCTGCAGGGCTCCCGGAGCGCTGCCGAGGATGCTGAAGAGGAGGAGGAGGAAGAGGAAGAGGAGGAGGAGGAGGCTGCCGGGGCCGCCGCCGCTGCTGGTGACAATGGGCTGCGGCTGCCGCCGCTGCTGCCGCCGGGCGCGGTGTCCCCGGGCGCACGGGGCGGAACTGCCTGGCTGGGGGCCCCCGATGGGCACAGGCATCTTGGGCCCCTGGGCTAAGTTGCCGCCATCTTCGTCCTGGAGAAACACTTTTTTGGGGGGAGCTCTGCCTTTTGCGTCATCTCCTCCCGCGCCGAGATCGCTCTATCCTGGCGCATTGGCAGCAGCAGCAACTCTGCCTCCTCCTGCCTGAGGAGGAGGAGGTGGGAGATGCACTGGGGACCACATGGACCCTCCAAAGGGTTTCCTCGATGTAACTCTTTCTACTCATCTCACCGAAGGGACTGCTCAGTACTACTGTCCAGCCCTCTCTCCTTCAGGGTCTCCTTCCCTTTGTGGCCGTGGAACACCATGTACCCGCAGGATGGTGGCTGGAGAGGTCTGTCTCCGAGTCTGTCCTTGTCACAGCAAATCACAAATGGCATATGACACTATGGGCTCTGCATCCTGGCCAGTTTTGGCCACACAGTAAAATGTCTGAGCATAGTTGTCTGTCTCTCAATCAGAGCTGTAAAGCAAAACAACCATAAACCCCAAGCTGTTTCCTCAAGAGAAGTTGTGCAAAACCGTGGTTCAGCCCATGAGCTGCCTGTCTGTGTGTTCCCCTGTTTAGAATCACTTCTTAGAGAGAAAGACAGAGGGGCCAGGCTAAGTCCTCTTTCTAGGATGATGAAATCACCTGGGGTGATGATTTCCACTTGGACCCAGGTCAGAGATCCAAACACCTTCTGTTCCCCAACCATGAAGGTCTCTTGCTCAAACAAACATGCTCTTTGGACACTCCTATGTGTCTCTAATTCCTTTCTTCTGGCTCACTTATGCACCTTAATGTAATAGCAAAACAACTTGGATCCCACACATAAGACAAGACAAGGTGCCAGCTAGAGGTTGAATACTAACAGATGAAGACCTGGTGTTCACCTCAACACATCAGTTATGCTATCTGGCCATAGGATAACCAAGATGTGTATTCTAATTTCTCCATTGGACTGGCAGAAGGATTATAAAAATATTTTTCCTTCTTCCAGAGGCTTTCTCTATCCTGAGGAACCGATAATTTCCCTTGGAAAAGGTGTGCAGTATAACACAAAAGTGGCTTTGCCCCATTTTTTTGGTTAAAGATAGATGTTTTTCAAACAAACATGGTCTGTAAGCTAATACAGATTGCTGATGGTTCTTGAATTCAGCTTCAGAAACTGTAGTGGGAAAAGACCTGAGACTAAACCATTTCAGAGTAAAACAAGACTTGCACCTTATTTGACTGCAGCTGTCATTAACAGAAGGGTGATCTTACCAAGGAATGTGCTGGAATTTCTGTCACTTTGAGCAGTAAATCAAGGCTGGATGTTTTTCAAAAGGAGATCCTAAACTTCAAACAGAAGATGCAGACCTGAGGTATGAATTCCTGAGAGAGGTTCTATGCCCTGTGTTGTGCTGGAGGTCAAAGCACATTATCATAATGGTCTCATCTGGCCTTACAGGATCTATGAGTCAAATACTATGGCAAGCAGAAATTATCTGTGGATTTCATTTTGATAGGGTATTTAAAGACACAGAAATAAGTGTTAATATTGAAAGGAAAGGTCTACAGTACTTAAATCAGAATGTGCCTTTGCAATTTTCAGTCAATCATCTCACACTGTCTGCTAATGGTACATTATTAATTTTGGTCTTGGAGCTTTGATTGAAATGATTTGACATACTGGCTTTTGTACTGAATTTGACTTTTTGTAATGCTTTCTGTTTTGGGACAAGGCTGTGACCAAGCTTTTAAAAAGCATTCAGGACAACTTTAGTACTCTAAAATGCAACATCATTTATTTAATTTTCTTTTTGCTAGTTTTATTACATATTTCTTGTTAGAATAAAGAGACTGGAGCAGAAATACAGGGAAAAAGGAAAAAGAAAAAAGAAAAAAAGAAAAAAGAAAAAAGAAAAAAGAAAAAAGAACATGAAGAAAGAAAAAAGAAGAAAGAAAAAAGAAAAAAGAAAAAAAAAACCAAATCAAACCAAACCAAAACAAACAAACAAAAACAACAACAACAACAACAACAAACTGGGATAAGAAACAGATTCCTGACATCAGGTATGAGATTTTTCAAAATGTGCTCTACTGAGATATGTGGCAGTGACTGTAAAATTATTCTGTGCTTGGCAACAAACATGAGGTGAAGAAAGTTGGCTTTAGAGTTTATACCTGGCAAAGAGGCTTAATTTATATAATTTTTTAAAATGTTGTTTCCCTTTTGTCCTGTTGAGAAAATGAGAGGATAATTAGCAATTTTGCAATCCACAATGAAATTATAAAAGTTCTTTATCTCCATAGTGGAACTTCAAGAATTGGTAATGAAAACATGCTTGTATTCAGATCTCCTTTGAAACTTAACATAAAAATTAATTCCTAAGTCTTTGCTCCTCTGTTTACACTTGTCTAAGATCAAAGCAAATATAGTCAAAGTCAGTACACTAGAATGGTTTAGATATACTTGGCTTCTCACAAAACATCCATTTTCATGTCATTTAATATTTTCACACATTTCCCAACTTTTGTCTGGTAAAATAGAATGAGAGTTCTTTTTCAACACCTAGAAATAAACTATAATAAGACATTTAGTATTTTCAAAATGAGCATGTCCTTGCTTTTCCAGTGACAGTTTTCTGTAACAGAGAACACGTCATGCAGGACTGTTGTTTCACCTCTTGCATTTCAACCAAAGCTCCATTCACTCTCCACCTAGCTCGGTGAATAACTTGCAACTTAGTTTCAGTAGCTGGTTCCTGATGGATCTGAACAAATGCAGTTCAGTTCTCTGGTGCCCCTTAGTGTTAGGTCTTGGAGCTCAAGGGAAAAAATAAGGCTATAAAATATTATCTGAAAATCAAGAAGCTGTATGCAGTGAGGGAAAGAATCTTAACTATACACTGTAGCTGCTTTCTCTAGAAGTTCCTTAATTTTTTTTTTAACCATAAATCAGATATAAATAACAGAATTTTATTTGAAATAGTTTAATGAATTATATGAATGGGAAGAAAAGTGAAAAACTTTCCTCAAAAATATTGCTACAGAAGCATGTTCCTATATTCATCATTCTTCCTAAATAACTCCAGTGGTGCAAAATACTTCACTTTGAAATTACATTTTTTACTGGGAATATTTATTACTCATGTTTAAAAGCTTGGCAGTTGTGAGGAACTCATGGAATCCTGTCTCACTAGCTGGTGGACTCACCAGATGTTTCACAGATGGATCTCCTTAAAGTAATGTGGTTCAGTGTCATCCCTGCCACACTGTGCTTTAATCAATACAATCAGAGCTGATGTTCTTTAATTCTTTGACTCATAATATGTGAGACAACTGATTTATTTAGCACTAAAGAAAAAGTCTAACAGGATAAGTATGCACAAATTCCAGATACTTAGAGCTATTGCTTAACATACATACCATGTGTTTTCTTTGTGAAAATACTTTAGCTTAATAAGCAGAAATATTTATTGATGTAACATGTTAATGGTAATAAACACTTTTCAGAGTAGAGGGCTTTGCTGTTTCAAATAAATGTTCTTATATTTTTGCCTAAAATCAGGGAAACAATATTTTCATGCATAATTCTCTTGCTTTACTTTGTTGATTACAAAATTGTAACATCAAAAGAGTAGTGTATGGGTCTTTCAGATGATTTTAACAGGTTTGAGAGACATATCTTGTCTTTTTAATGTATATTCTTTATATAAGAAAAAACTTATTTCATAATTGCTAAGGAGCATTTCTTTTTGTAAATGACAGGTTATTTTTAAGGGACTAGATTTCATTTATTTTTGGAGCAACTCTTTTTAACAGTTTAAACTTTTTAAATTATTTGTCTTCAATAGGAATATATATACATTTGTTGTAGGCAAAATATGTCATTTATGTGGTTTAACATCCTCAGTGTTGTTTAGTTTTTGGCTTATTTCAACATCTTACAACAAAATTTGGGTAGTATATTACCCATTACCTGGGAAGTGGATCAGAGATTTAATTATCTCAATCCATTTGATAAGAATATTATCCATGATGGTTGTAAGATAGAAAGAAGTTAAAAATACTGAAGAATATTTTTTTCTCATCACATTCCTAGTGTCTTAGTTTTCTACTCAGTATTTTTCAGAAAGCTCAATTTTTGTGAGAAAGCTTCAGTCATCTGGCCTGATTGCTCCAAAGCAATGGGAAATTTATGT